CTGTATTTGAAGTAGCGTGTTCTAAACCCTGTCATTAGCAAATGACGAAACGTTTAAGTTATTCGCATCTTACAATCAAGCTATTCAGTACAACACAGGTCTCAAATTTCTGAGACAATATCTATATATATAAAAGCCTAAGCCACCATCCGACTGCAGACCATCCAACTGGTAGCTATCACTTACACTGACCACCAGGGGGCAGACGCTCAACTCAGGAGCTACTGAGCTGCAGTGACTTAGCAGCTGCATTTCTTGGGTGACGCACCAAGAACCAGAGAGGAGGGAGCCTGATTCTGGGGTGCATCATCCGAGAACCGCCCTCTCGCATACCGGGACTCCTCGGGGGAGAGCTGCAATGACTTGGCAGCTGCATTTCTCGGGTGACGCACCAAGAACCAGAGAGGAGGGAGCCCGATTCTGGGGTGCATCATCCGAGAACCGCCCTCTCGCATACCGGGACTCCTCGGGGGATGTCGGAGAGCCAGTTTCAGCCTGATCTCCACAGGCCAAGCCAAGGGACCCCACTGATGCATGAATCTGTGCCCATTGGCTCCCCACTTCAGGTCTGGCTCTCCACCAGGCCTCTAGCCCATTGCAGAGGTCGTGGGTCTGGCCCTTACAGAAACTTTTCAACTTGATTAGCTACATGATGAAATGTACAGGACCTACTGGCTGCGGCCCCGACGTCTGGCGCCCGTGCTGGCCCATCCGCTTAATATCAATTTCCAGTGGAGGCAGCGAATTTTCCCGCTACCACTCTTGGCTGGGAAACCAGCAGTGGCTTCCCTCCTTTCCTGCAGACAGTAGCGCCAGTGGGCAACCTCCGGGGAGGGAAGGAGGCAAAGGAGCAGCTCAGGTGGGAAGAAGGAGGCTCCTGCCGCCACAGGACTCTGCCTGGACGGAAGGGCCTGGGCTGGAGCCTGACATTGAGCAGGGTCCTGCCCTAGGCCGACTAGGTTCCAGGCTAAGTAAATCCTGTTTGCTAAATAATTGCATTTTGCAGCTAAATGCCCACAAGTCAACAGTTACTGCCAAACTTAGGGTAAAGTGAGATGAAAGAAGAGAGACAGATACAGAGAGAAAATGATATAATATTGGGAGAAGAGAGGAGGGAGCCTGATTCTGAGGTGCATCACCTGAGAACCGCCCTCTCACAGTCTGGGACCCCTCGGGGGATTTCGGAGAGCTAGTTTCTGCCCGATCCCCACAGGCCAGGCAGAGGGACCCCACTGGTGCACAAACCTGTGCACCAGGCCTCTAGTATTTAATATAATTGTCTTGTTATAGAAATGAATACACTCACTAAAAAATATTTGGTTCCAAATTTTTTTTAAACTTTAAAGAACAATAACTTGCAAGCCTCTATATGGATCAATGCCTTAATATGTGGCCTTAACCTTGGACTTGGAAACCTGAGCTGAGGGAACACTTCGGATCCACTCTGGCCTTCTCTCTGGAAATTTCTAATTCATTGCTGTACTCTGTGGGGTTTTGCATTCTTTCTACATAGTATCTTTGACAGAGATGACAACTGTACATGAAAAATGATAACAGAATGTGTCCTTGGGGGAGCCACTCTCAGGCGTCCCCTCCCAGACCTCTGACAGCAAGGGCTCTGAAGCTTGGCCAGGGGCGCCAGGCTGAACGCAGACCTGGCTCCTGTCCTGGAATGATTTACATTAAGGCTCTGGGCCAGGTTCCCAGCCTGATGCCACTCCCCACCCCCGCCCCGCCTAGCCCAGGCCTTCTAAACCGTGCCAATAACACAGTTTTAGGTACCCCTAAAACTAAGGCTAAAAGGAATCAGACAGTCAGTATTAAGAGATTTACCAAGGCCTTCCTCATTTTTTCATTTCCTTTCTGTGGGATTTCACATTCATGGGCATAGTCTCTGATTGTGATGGTGTAGCCGTGTTAGACACGGCCATCCTGATTCTCACGGCACTCTTTATAAAGAGCATGTGCAAGAGAAAGCATTAGAGGCATCCTGTAAATGTTTTTAACTCACGAATAATGTTTATGCAGCTAGTGAACATGGCTCCGGGCATGGAGAGGGCTTTCCTGTTGCTAAATGTGGTGCTACTCCTAAAGCCAGCCCGGATGGGTTCCATATTATCACTTCTGAATGGGGCTCTGAAGTCCATTTCTGACCATTCTAAGCTGTCTTTTTAATTTATTATTGTCTTATTAGCAAAGGAAAATAACGACTGCATAAGGGAAATCTCATATCACTCAATAATGAACTTTCCCCTCTCATCCTAATTCTCAAAGGAGTAAATAATTGCATAGAAAAGATGAAAGTCAAGCTTTCTATTCTGTAAGAGGTTAAGGAGTCAGCATATTTCTCTCTCTTTCTCTCCCCCTCTCTTATTTGTATTAATAAAACGAGATCAAAATGTTTTTCCGGAAAGCTGAATAAATGAAATCACACGGCTAGAAAGCTGTGCATACAGGATAATGACTATCAATGATTTCGCAAGATAAATGATTTGATAATACAGACATGAATGCATTCATCTTTTTTTCAGAGTTTTCCTAAAGTAAAGACCATGGAATCAAGAGAAAATGTAGACACTAACTCAGATTTTTCAAAGAAAGGAACCTATAAATAAACTAATTGGACTATCACTTGATTTGTATGTCAGATATGTAAGTACTTAGAGGGAACACTGTTTGCTTCAGCTGTTCTCATCAGGATGATTGATGACTACTTAAAAGTGCTTGATTCCATTTGTATGCCAGCTGTTCTTGTGTAGAACAAATGGGGACTTTCTCAAGACAATCAGAGCCGGACTGTGGGCAGGATTTGGGGCTGATACCTAGGAGCTGGAAAAGGTTACTGATGGCTCTTAGCTCGTTGCTCTGAGATCAGACCACACTCGTGATGAAATACAGTTGACCTTGAACAACATGGATTTGAACTGTGTGGGTTCATTTTTACACAGATATTTTTAAATAAATACTGTAAATGTATTTTCTCTTCTTTATGATTTTCTTGCCATTTTTCTATTCTCTAGCTAACGTTATTGTAAGAATACAGTATGGAATACATATAACATACAAAATATGTGTTGATGTTTACTTTTGGCAAAGCTCCCAGTCAACAGTAGGCTATCAGTATTAAGTTTGGGGGGAGTCAGAAGTTGTATGTGGATTTCTAACTACACAAGAGGTCCGTGCCCCTCACCCCTGTGTTGTTCAAGGGTGAACTATATATCTAAAGTAGATGCTGATTACTGGGACTTGTGAACACAAGATCCTGCTTCTTTGCAGGTTTGGTTGGTGGAAAGATCTTAGCCAATGTTGAGCCTTTGTTAGCAAGTTAACAAGAACCTAAGTAGTCTTAACTACACGCACTAATAGTACTTTTAAAGGTAAAATTGCAAGATGAGTCATTCAAGTCACAGACAAGTTGGGCCAAGCAGCAATACAAAAATCATCAAACCATGGAAGTGATGCTATGTCCTTTCATAGGGAAGCAGCTGCCACAGGTTACACCTCTGGGTAGCAAGGTGCTGGCGGTAGGAAAATGAACACAGGCACATGGGGGATGGTTTCAAACATAAGCTCCAAGATAGTGGCAGGTCTGCATTTTCACTTCCTGTTGCACATGTTCCAAAGCAGCTGCCAATAGATGAGAGTGATTTTCTTTACCACAAAAGTACTTTCAAAGGTATCCAAATGAAAATAAACACTAAGAACAATCTCATTGTCGTTTTTAAGGTCAGTTAATTTCAGGCGTAAAGACAGTCAGCAAATGCTGCCCAACCTACTCTGTGCTAGCGACTGTACCAGTAGGGTATACACCAGACCGGAAATAGCTCTCTGTCTTATTGGGGGATCAAAGCGTAATTGCTAATGGTTGTCAACTGCTTACTATGGTTAGTTAGCACTGTGCTGAGCATGTTATATGCACTATCTCTTTTATTCCTCAGACCAACCTTATGAGGTGGCTACTATTATTATCACCCCATTTTAGAGGCAAGAAAACCAAGACGTTTTCTCAACATCCCATAGGTAAGAATGGAGGGAGCAGGACTCAAACCCAAGTTTCTCTGATGCCAAAGAACACCCATGCTCTTTACCCCACGTGCTATATGTGTGCTTTAGGAAAGTGGCAATGCCAGGCAGTCAGCTATGGGAAAATGCCAAACTGACTGACAAAAAGTGTCACAGAAGGTCATCAGAAGAGCAAAAGACATCTGGAGAAGCTTAGGGAGAAGGTGAGGCTTAATCTGAATTTAGATTCGAACTTGTAGACAAAATATTACTAGGATAATATTGAGGGTAACTACCATATCTTCTCACAAATATTCCTTTGGTGCTATCAGAGAAAAAAATTGGCCTCATGAATCATTAAACTGATGTACTGTGACCTTTCTTGTATAATTATATGTATACATATAATTTTATATGCATGCAAAGTATATATAAAATTATAGAAGTACTGGTGAAGGCAAGTTCACATAACCAGGTGTCAATCATCTCTTTTATAGATGAGAAATTGCATAAAGTCTTGTGTACTGTATGAATTGCATAAGGTATTGGGAGGCAATTCTCCAGGTCTTTTTTTTTTATAGAAAGCAGGAAAATAATTTATTCCAGAAGATGGCAGAAGTAAGAAATTCATCCTGAAAATAGATTTGGTGTAATCCTGTCGGGACAGATGTCCCCTCGAATATGCTCTCCTATGGCTGTTGCGCTGGAGTCTTATTGTCTCCTGACAGCTTTTGAACACATCACTGGCCCCCTGTCATGAGCAGGCAGGAGCCATCTTCAGGTCCACAGTCCCGAGGAGAGTGCCGTGTTTCCCAGAGCACCTTCTGTCTCAGAGGAGCACATTACATTTGGTGGCGTCGGCAGCGTTTAGATTGAGGAGGCACATAACTCATCAAAGTGTAAAAAGGCTAAAGAGAGAAACACTGCACTGGAGAATCAGGTGGTCACCTGTGCCGGGCATGTGTAAGGCAGGATGGCCAGAGCAGGCGAGCCAAGGGAGGCGGCCCCGTGTGGAGGTGACTGCTCATCTAGAGATTCTCGTCATGACCTCGATGGCTGGGCAGCGGGTCTTCCTCCTCAAGGACAGTGATACTTGAAATACCAGGTGGTTTCATTTTTCAACTGTGGTCCAAAGAGAGGGCTGAGTTGGGCCAGAACTGCAATCAGCCAAAAGAGAGAGCAGCAAACTGAACAGGTCACCAACATGGTGATGATAACTCCCCGGTTGGGACCCTTGGAAATGAACCAGGGCAGCAGGAGGCCGATGATGTCCAGAACACGCTCATCACCATCAGAGGCACCGGGAGGCCGCTGTACGCCATGATGGCCGAGGAGCTGCCAGCCCCTGCCCCACCGCCGCCTTTGCATGTCTTATAAACATGGGCTTCCTGACAGCCCCTTGTTCAGGACTGCCTTTTCAAGGTGGTTAGCAAACAGCCTCAGAGGATATAATGTCTCCTCTCTGGTGAAAAGGGCAGGCATGCTTACTCTCCAATATAAAAGATTGGGTTCTCTAAGCTCAGGGTTCCTATCCTGTCACACAACCCACTGCGCTTGTAGCATCTATCTGGGTCCACTCACATTGCCTCCGGAGACTTGAGAGCCCGGAGAACTGACACCATAAGCTGTCTCATGCCACTTGCTGTGCCATGAGTGATAAAGCTCTTTGTCTCGGACCCAGAAATCTTATGGCTTCTGGCAGCAACCTTGAAACTGAGGCAGTTAACTCACGAGTAGGGTAAAGCCTCAGGACACTTCACACTTTAGAAAACAGGAAAATTTATTTTCTTTTTTCGATAGGCCAAGTCTGTCCTCATGAAAAATAAGGCACCTGCTCTGGTATTCATTAGATGGATGTCAAGTAGATCCACCTTGGAGCCTGGAGAAACCAGGGAAGATAAAATGCCCGTGTGAGTCTGCCCTGCATGCTTAGACAAGGTGCCCAGGGAGGAGTTTCAGGAAAGTACAGCCCTTCCGTGTCCACACCCTCAAAGTGCTCAACATCCCAGGAAGCGCTGACAAAGGGGCCCCTGAGCCAAATCGGGTTGACCTTTGTTTCAACACATAAAGTTTATTATCTAGGTATTATCTGTGGCTGCTTTTGTGCTACAATAGCAGAGTGGAGTGGTTGCAATAGAGACTGTATGGCTGGCAAAGCTTAAAATATTGACTATCTGGCCCTTTAAGGAAAACATTTGCTGACTTCGGATCTAAAAGAAGAGACAGATACATGAAGAATAAAGTATTCCCTCAAAACATGCTAACAGCAGAGGCATGAACAGAACATTATATGAGCATCAAATGGAAAGCTGTAAACACACACACACACACGGATATATACACATGCACACCCACTTGCACAATTGCATCTATCATTGATTTGCATGGTCTTATTTTTTCCTCACAGTACCTTTTTTTAAAAAATATATATATACTTTGTTGATTTTTTACAGAGAGGAAGGGAGAGGGATAGAGAGTTAGAAACATCGATCAACTGCCTCCTTCACACCCCTTACTGGGGATGTGCCCCAACCAAGGTACATGCCCTTGACTGGAATCAAACCTGGGACCCTTCAGTCCGCAGACCAATGCTCTATCCACTGAGCCAAACCGGACAGGGCCTCACAGTACCTTTATTAAGCATATAGATTGGTTCAAATGTAAAGCTTTGCCACTACTAGCTGAGTGATTTTGGGTAAGTTACTTAACTTCTCTGTGCCTCACCTGCTAAACATGAGTAATGCTACTTATACATCATAGGGTCACCAGAAGGATTAAGCGAAGGCATCACTAGCCTCTGACACATAGTAAGCAATCCGTAAATAGTCCTTATTATTTACCCCGCTTTCCGGAAGAGTAAACTGAGTGTCAGAGAGGTTGAGTAATTTTGTCAAGATCACACAGGTAGAAAAAGATAGATGCAGAAATTAATCTCAGCGCTAACTCCAAACCTGGGCTTTTTACCTCTGTTATGATACTGCTTCTCAATTCTAAAGGCTTAGTGACTTAATAAATCAAATCACCACAATACAATCTTTTTACCTTTTCCAACAATATTTTTATTTTTAAATTATGATTTGGGGTTTATTTATTGGCAGATCCTACAGGTCTCTGGTACCGTGTGAGTTTTCTGGAAGAGCCTTATTTAAATTCACTAGATTAATACATTCACACCGAACACTCAGATGGGTATTGACCAGTTTTATATTAAAATTTTTATATTCATAATTTTAAAAGCAAAGCTTTTGTTAGTAACCTATATAACAATATTCAAGTAATTTTAAATACAGAATAGTACTTTTAAATACTGAGTTCTAGATAAGTGATTTGATACTACTGTCTTCCTCTAAGAATATAGCAAAGTGATGTCTTCCATATAGTTTTCATAGAGTCTGTTTATCCTACTCTTAGTATTTAGCTGAGTTAAAACAAACAAGCACCATCCGTGTGTGGACTACAGCCTTCCTGTGCATGGCTCTAAGGGAAAGGGGGCCACCCCCTGACGCACCCGCATCTTATCTCCCCATTGCTGCCTTCGGCAGAGGACTGCTATTGACATATCTTGCTGGAAAAAAAAGGTTACTATTTAAAGAATGGTATGTCAATAAAGAAAAAAGGCCAGTATCCATTTGATTGTCTTTTGAGCTTCAAGAAAAGTATTTTTCATGGATGACAATGCTGTTTCTTTGACCAGGGAATAATACTTTTGAAATCTGCTATGTACTCACTAAAAGTGCAGTGCAAAACTGGAATTCTCATTTATGATACCTGCTCAGAGGCTGAAAGCCTGTGAAGAGGATTCTATTTAAATGTTCATTTCTCCATTTAATTAATAGCTATTTTTTGAAAGTTAGATATTAACTTTAATGAAATAGTTTGATTTTCAGAAGAGAAACTGTAGCTTTTGAGTCTAACAAGAAGCTTTATATAAATTGTTTTTGAAATCTCAAACTACAATAATTGCCACAGTTTCCACAGTTTTTAAGTGACAGGATTCTAATTCAGAAATCTCAAACTACAATAATTGCCAGTTTCCACAGTTTTTAAGTGACAGGATTCTAATTCAGCTCTCTGTAGTTCTAGACATGGCCCCATATTTCCTAGATCCAGTGCTGACTAAATTCACTTGTTATTCCAGCCTGAAGCTTGTAATTCCTGAAGGAGATCCCTAGCACTTCGTCATCCCACTGTAGTGACCAAGGTCAGGAGTTCCAGCTACAAATGGAGGGGCTGCTCTCAGCCTGGGTCCTTGAGTGACTGTGTGGAACAGAACCTCCTCTATGGGCCTGTGTTTGACATGTGATGTGATAAATGACTTCTATGTTAAGCGACTGATATGCAAGCATTCTTTATTACCATTGTAATAGTGTTCTATTCAAATACAATTTTCTTTGCTTCTTCTCCAAGTGGATCATCTTCTCCGTTGGACCATCTCATTGGTTTATAGAAGCTCTTTGTTAAAGATATGAACATTTTATTTGTTCTGCAATTTTTCTCCCTATAATTTTGCTTACAATTTATTTTGCTGAACAGAAATAATTTTGCTTATTCTGTATTTTTCTGAACAAGAATTTAACAGTTTTACGTAACCAAACTTGTCAACTATGTTCTATGGCTTCTTCTTTTTTTTTTTTTAATCTTATATAGAAAAGATCTTCACTTGCCCGTATCATAATTTTCTGATTGTCATTTCCCTGAGCAGAAAAGCTACGTCTGGACTTAATATTTTCTATTTTTATGTCTGTTTTATACTAATTTATTTATTACTGTGTTTTAAATATATGTTCTGATATATTATGGGGCTAATTCCTCTATATTGTTCTATTTCAAAATATTATTGGCATTCATATGCATTCACTCTTCCAGATAAAATTCAGAATTTGTTAAGTTCTAGAAAAGAAAATGTGTTGGGATTCTATATGAAATTATAGTAGTTAAAAAAAAGAAATTATACTAACTATATATGTTGCTGAATCTTCTATCAAGAAAATGGTGTGTATCTTCATTTAGTCAGGTCTCTTTAAAATTTTATGTTTTTTCTTATGTATTTTTTGTTAAATCTATTTTTAGGAATTTTATAATTTTTGTTGCTATTATGAATGTTTTCTTTTTATAGTGGATTGTATTATTATTAATAATAAATTAATAATAAATTTTATGGCTGTATACTTAACTGGTAAAACAGAATAGATAAACTTTAAAGACTTGAGAATTTAAACTCATTCCTGTTCAATAATCACCTAGAACCTAGCTAAGACAGGCAGCATACATAATGTCTCAAAATGGAAAAGAAATGTCTCTGGCCTGTGCCAGACTGAGAAATGTGGTGTCCACCTGGGCTGTGTCACAGTGGCTCTGCCTGGAGCCTCCCTTATCCCATTGTGATCTTAGGCCATTGCCCTGTGAAAACTGTTCCCACAACTTACTAGGAGGTTGTTTTTCAAAGATGGTATTTTCTGTATTACATTTGTTATCTGTATGAAGCTCCAAAGAGGAATTCCTCGGTCTTTGCTCCTCCTGAGAAACTACTTTGTGCTTTTATCTAGTGGCCCTGATTATAAATCATGTAACTTATAGCATTTCCTTCTGCATTGGCTGCTGGAGAGCATAGAGTCAAATTTTCACTCAGCTCCAACAAATGCATAAGCTTTTCATGGATGCATTTGAATTCTAAGCTTATTCCTGGCCTTGTTGAGCTTTCTTTACTACTCCTATGCCTTTTTTTTCATTTATTTTTATTTTGTTACGTCTTTTATATCTTTGTAATCCACTTTAAATATTTTCTGGGTCCAAACAGACTTGAAAATGCTTAGACAAGTATGTATGTATCCTTGGACCCATGCTCTAGTTCATGAAATTGCATGATAAATATAATGACCACACCATTTGACATACAGAACTTTATTTTGAAGTAAAGAATTATACATTCTTTGAATTTACAGATTGGTTCACATAGAATAATCTTGGCCTTAATTTCTAAAATAAAATTCACTTTTAAAAACCTTCTAGTAAAATGATTACACAGGAAAACTTTAGTCTTAAAGCCTGACCAAGAAATAAGCACTTCATGAGACTCATCATATTACTTATCTTTATCTCTCTTACCATTTAAAACGTGTGTTTGCTTCATTTTGTGCTTAATACTGAAAACACAACTCAGCAAAGATTTATTATATTTCAAACTTTCACAGAAAAGAAGTTTTTTTTAACTGAAGGTATATTTCCAAGTCAACATAGATAGGACAAATACAATTTACGGAAATAGTTTTTAGAAATATTTATATTTCAGTGAAGTATATTAAACAGTGCTCTTAATAAGTCTCAAAAAATGTGAACAAAGTCATTTTAGAAAGT